GCGCCTTTCCCGCTGTCCCCCGACTTGGTTAGAAGGCTGGCGGAGGGCTTTCCCCTCCTCCAGCCCCGCAAGCTCCCAGAGCAATGCCAAATCTGCACGCAGCTTCGGCATGGCTCTGGGTCCCATTCTGGGGGCTGGGGGAGGGGGAAGCTCCGCTTTCCCCTCCTCCAGCCCCGCAAGCTCCCAGAGCGATGCCGAAGCTGCACGCAGCTTCGGCATCGCTCTGGGTCCTGTTCTGGGGGCTGGGGGAGGAAAATAATTTTTTCCCCTTTATTTCACCCCCCAAAATCTAGGTGCGTCCTATGGGCCGGTGCGTCCTATAGGGCGAAAAATACGGTAAGTTGAAGAATATTCTCCTATTGTCGCAACTATGCCAACAATTCTATGGTGCATTTGATGTCCTGTCAGAAAGCTGCACAAGAGTCCAATGCCACCCATGCAGAATTTTTAAACGACATTCCCTTAACGTAAGCTGAGGTAGATTTATAGAACTTAGAAGATGATGATTTATTAAATTTGTATACTGCCCTGTACCCACAGGTCTCAGGGCAGTTCGTAGGATAAAATCACAATATAAAACCACAAAATACATAATCAAAATAAAAACAAAAACAACCCAGTACACACACACACCCCTGCCAAAACATTTTAAAAGGGCATTGGATGACAATCAACCAAAGTCCTGGTTAAAAAGAATTGTTCTTGCCTGGCACCTAAAGCTGTGTAATAAAGGCGCTGTGCAAGCCTTCCCCAGAAGAGCATTCCACAGATGGGGAGCCACTGCAGAGAAGGCCCTTTCTCATGTTGCCACCCTCCAGACCTCTCGTGGAGAAGGCACACAAATATATTGCAGTCCACTTAAGAGTCATTTCTTTTCAATTGTAGGTTCCTTCTCCCAGGTAAGCTTAAGACCTTCTAATGTTTAAAAAAGGTAAAGGACCCCTGGATGGTTAAGTCCAGTCAAATTCGACTATGTGATATGGCACTCATCTCCACTTTCAGGCCGAGGGAGCCAGCGTTTGTCCACAGACAGCTTTCCAGGTCATGTAGCCAGCATGACTAAATCACTTCAGGTGCAACAGAACACTGTGATGAGTGGCAGAGCACACGGAAACACCATTTACCTTCCTGACACAGCAGTACCTATTTATCTACTTGTGCTGGTATGCTTTAGAAGTGGTAGGTTGGCAGAAGGTGGGACAGAGCAATGGGAGCTCACCCTGTTGCACTGATTCGAACTGCCGACCTTCTGATCAGCAAGCCCAAGAGGCACAGTGTTTTAGACCACAGAGCTACCCATGTCCACTTCTAATGGTCACATAGATTTATCAAGAAGTTCCATATAAATAACAGATACCAGTCCTCTGTCCCAATGGCCCAGGTGTAATAACAAATCCTCTAGATTTAGTAAGGGATCTAGTAACTTGTGCCTTAAGGGCAGGATCAGCCAATAAACATCAAAACATATCTGCCCTGGATCTCCTACAGCTAGCCTGACTTGCTTGCTAAAAATTTGAACATTATTGGTACTAAAATCACATAACAAGTTCTTTTTCTCCCAGGATAAAATGATTCCATATCCCTAACCTGTGGGAGGCAGCCTAATGGCAGCAGTGATGAATATCTCAAATGCCAGCTCCTCCCCTGTAGAACCTATCAGATGTTTAGGGTGGAGGGCACTCTTCATAGTTCTGCCAGAAGCTCAGAGTGGTGATGGTGGCTCAGGAGAGGTCCTTCTCTGCAGCAGCCCCTAAGCTGTTGTTCTCCCTCCACACAGAAGTGCATTTGGCAACCTTATTGTACAGCTTTCTTCAAATTATGAAGACACATCTTTTTACTCTACTCTTTTGTCACGTAAGATGTATATTTTCAGGAACCACCCTTTATGTGATTGCAAGTTTTTTTTTAAAAAAAAACTGTTTTTAATGTGTTTTAGATTGTAACCCACCTAGAGATAAAGTGGGATAAAGTGATGATGAAGAGGAGGACTAGGTCATGATAGTAACAGTGGCTTATGTGTTGCTGGTGGCATGCTCAAAAATCCATGGCATTTGAGCTTTTGTCAAATGGGAAGGAAAGCACAGTTCATTCTAAGGGCACATCCGTTACATTGGCTTTTGACAGTTGCAGTATTTTGTTTTGTGGGACCCGCCTCTTCATCTGAATTCATACTGTCCTGTTCCATTTGGAACAGTTCTCCTTGTTTTATAATTATAAAGGGCTTTGCTTGTTTTCATATCTGTATATTATTCCCAGCCTGGGACCTTATGATGAAGGGTGGGTACAAAATCTTGTACGTGGACAAATATGTAGGTGGTCCCAGGTTAAGTCCCCTCCTAATGAGATCTGACTCTGTTTAAGGCAGCTTCCTACATTCCTATGCCCAAAGTTTTCAAGAGCCCTGGCAAATTGTGATTTTATGCCAGCCTAGGATGGCCACAGCAGTGAAGGGCTATCACCTTCCAGCCCTACTTATAGGTTTCATGGAGGCATCTGATTAGCTACCACTGGAAACAGATTGTGGCTTAGATTGGTTTTAGTGTGCAGCAGGGCTTGGGGGATCTCACCTTCCTCTGCCTCCTCTGTTGGCGATGAAGCTTCCAGTGCCTATCATGTTACTAGACCTTCAGTGTTCCCTCCCTTCTCTCAGCATAATGTTTTCCTCTGTGGTAGGACTTCTGGAATCTTTCCTGTAGAGGATTGAGACACTATGTCGGGAAGGAAAATCCACATGGATTTCAACAGGAAAACTCCTCAAGGAGGAGCTGACCTGAATCGAGTACCCTCCTTATTCCATGAAGAAGAAGGAGAAAAATCCTCCCTTCTGCGGAGGAACATTGGAACATCCTCGCTGCTGCTGAAACTGCATTGATGCTTCCTAGTCAGTGATTTCCCCAGTAGCTACTTTTGAAGGATCTCCACAGCTTTGAAAGCAGAGCACTACAATGGAAGATCTGTCTGGTGCCAGACGGTGGGGACCCAGTTATCTGTGTTGAGATCCTTCCAGCCCCTGGTGGAAAAGTCTGCCAGGTTGGGGGGGACCAGAGGTGACCCAGCCCCCCTCATTCTGCATAATTTGGGTGCAAAGAGAGAGTGGCATGTTGTGAAGAGGCAGGGAGGGACATGCATGGAGAAGGGAAGCGTTGCCTAGCAATGGGAGGACACACATATGTATGTGTGGCATGTGCATTCCCAGAAGCACCCATAACAAATGTGTCAGCAGAGAGGACAGATGGGAGGGTCTCCTTACATGACCTGTACCATGGTGAAGAAGAGAAGAAGAAGAAGAAGAAGAAGAAGAAGAAGAAGAAGAAGAAGAAGAAGAAGAAGAAGAAATTGCCATAGCAGGAGGAAGCCAATGTGTCAGCAGGGAGGGAACACACATTTATGCTTGCTTAAAACATTTCAACAGGTTGTGGCATCGTTCAGGAAGGGAAGGGAATTAGGTCATTAACTCTGGCTCAATAAATGGAAAAGACTCTTGGGAATTCATCCCAGGCACCAAAGTCTCTCCACCCCCACCCCAACCCCAGTTTTGCCCTGCTCTTTACTTTATGTAAATTCCTGATGCAATCCACTGAAATCAACTTCCTTTCACCAAAGCAACACCCAGCTGCTGCTCCAGTTCCTGCCTTCGCTTCTTCGGTTAAAGAGACAGGAAGCTGCTCTTGCACGATAACCTTCTTCAATTCCTTGGAAGCCCCTCACCCACCTCCATTTGGCAAAATGTGACCTCCTACCCCAAATCCAGAACTCTGCTCACCTGGGAAAGCTGGGCAGGGTCTTGCTCTACCTGATGCAAGCTTTATAATACGAGAGAGAGAGAGAGAGATATGTTCACTTTCGAACATTGCAAAATGAAGCCTGGGTCTGATCTGGATGGGATCTTAACTGTTAGGGAGGGCAAGTGTGACCGGGGTCGGTGGGTTATTGCTAAACCAGTCTACATTGTAAATGCTGGCAGATTATTGCTATTAGCATAGGGGTGTGGAATCTCAGGCCCAGGAGCAAAATGCAGCCTCTTAGGCATGTATATCCAGCCGTTGGAACTCCCCCCCCCATAAGCCACACCCCTTTATTGGCCCAGGCACCTCTGTCCAGCCTTTGGGTCATTCCCAGGTCACACTGGCCCAGCTCCTCACCTTAAGTGCTTAAATGTGCCCCTAAACTGAGACAAGGCCTCTTTGGTCACCTGGGTGGAGGGTGGAGGAGGCAGTTGGCAGATATAGAAGCCTCTTAACTTTGTATAGCAGGGACATAGCATTACAAAAGGCAAGCATCTTCTCAGTTCTGCACCCACTTTTGCTTCTGATCCCACCCACCTCCAGCTATGGACTGCAGAAAAGGTCCAATTCTTGTCCCTGACCCAAATTCATTAGTTTCTGATTTAATGGTCTTCTAAAGGCTAAGCCATGTGGCTCATTTATTGATAGGTCAGTGGCTCAGTTTAACACCATCTCCAGATGGCAGATTTTTGCTGGAGAGATTCAAGTCCATTCTGGATATTGAAGGCTTGCACAGTTAAAGCACATCCTTCTGTCACCCTAGTGCAACAGATCTACTAGATATTCATAAAAATGACTTCTCATGGTTAGGAATGTGATGGGAAATGTACTGGAAGAGACTTGGGTGCAATCTGATGGTTAAAGGGAAGGCATATAAACCCCAAAAGCAAATCAGAATGAATGTTCATTGCCATATAAGGCTTCCTACAAACATATCAGAACAAATCATTGATACAGAGAGTGCCAAACCTCTGCAGAACCTTGGTACAAACCAAATCAGGATGAATGGTCTAGGTTGCCTAGAGCTGCCCCAAGTCTTTAAGGCCCATTTGAAAGAGGAAGCCAAGTGTATATCCATGGGGGGGGGCTTTCCACAAAGATGGTGTCAACACCAAAAAGGCCCTGCCCTGTTGTGCTTTTAGAAATCCTTTTAAGCAGCTTTGCAAATAAGAGTGAGGCACTGATGCCCTATGTTTCTTGGTTTCCTTTGTGCAGGTTATCCCCTTCCCAATGTCCTGCGACATGCAGGGGGATTGTGCTTGTCGGGACCCAAGCGCCCAAGAGCACAGCCGACGGGAGCTTCGCGCCTTCAGCTTTGGATAATACCAAGATGACAGAAGAGAAACCACCTCCAAAGGCTAGGAGAGAGGCATCGTCACTTACCCCATTTTTGTTGGTATTGTGTGTGTTTTTTCCTCATTTGTTTAAAACAAAACAATTTCAGCTGCTCAACTCAATGGTGTTTCTGCACCAGGGACCTGTAGAACTCAACCAGTCTGCCTTTAATTTCTTTGCCCAAGGAGAACTGAAATTTGGGGTGGGGGTGGAGGGTGGAGGGAGAGGCAGGCTCTTGTATTAACCATATCTTACCTAGCAAGAAGAAGCAAAACAGGAAATGGCAAATAGTTGAGTCAAAGAGGACTTTTTTAAAACAACAACAAAAATGTGCCAGGAGACGAAGGAGGAGGCATCATGTCTGATGCAATTGTGCATCCACCTCGTTTGAACAATGCATGGTTCGGTTTGTGGGTTTGTATGTCTTTTGGCTTAAGTCCCTCCTCCTCTTTTGTATGCAGATTAAGGCAAAAAAAAAATACCAAGCCATATATAAATATGTACCTAATATTTATAGAGAAGTTGGTGGGGGCGGGGTGGAGAGAGGGAGAGGAGCATGCCATGGCAACAGAAGAAGGAGTGAAATGCCTTGGCTGCCTTCAGTGTTGTACGCTCAGACTCCCTTCATGCTCAATGAGGGTGTGAGAAAAAAGGAAGGAAGGAAGGAAGGAAGGAAGGAAGGAAGGAAGGAAGGAAGGAAAGCCAGTAAGCCATTTGGTTTGTTGGGGTTGGGTTGGAAAGAAGAAGAAGAGGGGGGGGAGAGAAAAAGAAGAATTGCTTGCCAGCTTTGCAGACAAGGAGAGGGGGCTTCCTGAGATGCTTAAGCCAGTGCTTGAGGGAGAGGATGCATTTTTGTGGCAAAGAGCTGAAGGTCAAGGGGGGTGGTGGCTTCAGCTGCTAAACTGGGGGTGAAGGATGGAAGTCCCACTGCACCACCAATGGGGAACAGAGAAGAAAAGGAAGCAGAAGAAGGTCAACCAAACCTCCATCCTGCTGCTGCTGTTACTCTTGCTGCTGCTATATCCCGTAAAACTGATTCCCTTACTGTGTCAGGAACAGGGTGCTGTTTAACCTCCAAGCAACCAAACAGTCTGCCTTAAACCGCTTTACCGGTTGCCTGCCTTCCAAACCACCTCGGGGTTCCTCCCCACCTTCCTTTCCTCAAGCATGACAAAGAAAAACAAGACACCAATCAGCCCCCCAAACATATCCAACCAAGTTCTCTTCAGAGTAGACCCCCTTGAATTTGATGGCCCTAGCCCACTTAGGTCTGCTCATTTCAGTGGGTTGGATGCGTCCAATAACCCTCAAGGCCCAAAATGAAATTTCAGCAGCAAACAAAGCCTCGTGAGGGCATGTGGCTTTTCCATCACCTGATCAGCCTTTCTCCTCCAAATATAAAATCCCTGAGACAATGACCCAAAATGTGACTGAGGAGAGGGGGGGGGGCTTTCCCAAAGTGATAGAAGCTACCTGGTGCAAGACCCTTGAGCTGTGTGGAACAACCCTTATCAGTATTAACCTCTCGGGCAGGACCCCACAATGCTCCTGCCATTGCCTGTCTAACCTCTTCCACACCATCATATCTGGAGTCAGCTCTTGGTAGCTACCAGCTTTCCCCCATCCTCTCTCTCTGTCTCTCAATCATTGGACTCCATGTGCAATTTTGCTGCTAGAACTCTAAATTCTGCACACAGGGGCCTGGGCTTGTACAACTTCAGGGTCTCCTATCCCTGCAGGGAATCTGAAGAACTGACTACAATTCCCTCTGGTGTCTGCCAAAAGAAGAAGAAGCCAAGTCTTAGATGGTCCGGTGATGGAACAGGCACACAATTTGACTTGTTGCCAGGATTGTTTGCTTGCCATTTTGAAAAAGCAGTAGCCCCTTCTTGACATAACTGGATGCCATTATGGGGAAGAGAAACCACAGCACTGGCCACTCATGTGATTCGGCAAACTAGGTTCCCCACATCTATCCTTTGTATTTCAATTCTAGCAAATTGGGGGGGTGGGCTATTCGCAGCCAATGGAAATATTTCAAGTTTAAAAGAACCCTGGTCTTTGCAAACGTTAACTGTTGCTAACTGATTCTCAAATTGGACATGCCTGTGCATCAGACATAAACATAAACTGGTTTAATAGTCCTTCTCTCACTCCTAGGAATTCTGGGAACCTTTAACAAAGAGTTCTCAAAAACACCCAGAACCCAACTGACTTTCCCAGTATTCTTCAGGGAAAGGCATGACAAGGCCAAATTAAATGGCATGTGGAAGGAATGTATGTGCAGGTCTGCAGCTCTACCTCTTTCTAAGCAGCTGTGGGGGGCCTCTGAATTGAATCCTGCTGGTGGCACTTGGGAAAGAAAGGGTTAACCTTTTCCTGCTGCCATGCCATTTACTCAAAACAAATCACCCCCAACACACACACACACACACACACACTTCTCAAACTATGGTTTGGAGACATTATTCTCCTCCACCACCATGCAAAATATCGTTCTATAGTCCCAAATCCATCCAGATATAAGTGAATTTAAGATGGGAATCTTTTCCCATCTGAGAACATCTTTTTAAAAACAAATTCCAGCTGAAATACACAGGCGAGTATGCTTGGGGATGGGCGTGGGGTGTGACTTTAAAAAGGCAAGTGAATTTGATTTGTCAGAAACATTCTTACCCAATAATTTCCTACAGAACTTCCTTGTGGCTGTCTCGGCCCCAGTTGCTTTAAAAAGCACCAACTCTGTTCATGAATAAGAATTGAGAGGGGAGGATTCAGTTTGGTTTGTATTTCAGTGGAAACCTATGTAATTCACACTTCCCCAAAACAATCCACAGGCTAAAATGCTGCTGTTCTTCGGATTTCACACTCCTTTAGAATTTGCAATGCCAAATAATACATGAACAAAATGCAAATATTCAGAAAAAGTGTGCAGTAAAAACACCACATTGGTAAAAGCAACATAGAAAAAAGCATTATACTTTTGTGAGCTGCTTAAATGCTGTCCTGGTATTAAGCAGGATATAAATGTACAAAATAATAATAACATGAATGATAAATTATTATGACTATGGAAAATGGCTCGCAAGAATATGCATATTAGATAAAATTGCATACAAAGTAGGTTTATTAGGTTAATTTCATTCTAAAATGCTGCCAAATTTTCATAAGGACATAAAAAATTGCACACGGATGCAGAAATGAACTTAAGTTCAGAAACTGAAATTAAGATTGGGGAAAAAATGAGAAAATGAAATTGGACAGAATTGTCTATCCCTGTTAGTTTGCATCCTATTCCATGTTAACCAGCTCCTGAAATAATTGGGAAACTGCTTTTATTCTCCTAACTCCACCCATTCCATACTGTTGCTGTGTTCAGGTGGGAGTCATTCACATGTCCACGAATTAGGGGTTGCATCAGTTAAAATGGATGTGGTGCTCTTGTGCTACAAGCCTGCCTCCTCTTCACAGCACTCCACTCAGCCAAAAGAAAGAAAAAGAGCTAGCCTTTTTGCAATGAGGAAAGTGATGGGGAAATGCACTGGAAACTGTGGAGTAACATTCATTCGACACAAGGTTGCAGGGGCAAAACTAGACTTTATTTCATCTGGGTCGAAGACCCAGCTTGGCACACACATCCCATGTGCATTTGCATATATATACACACACACACAGCCTGGGAGCCTCATTGACGCTCCAGGGCAAAAAGGCTCTGCAAGGTTGTATAACCTCCCTGCAAACAAATAAGAATAAACAATAAATAGCCAGCATTGCCCAGTTTGCAACCTTTGTGCACGCAAATCAGTTCAAATGTGCAAGGGACAGGTGATTTGAAAGCAATCAAAAGAGAACATCGTGCATATTAAACCACTTTGAGTTGTTTTTTAACCATCAAGTGGTGTATAAATTTTCTGAAACAAATATACAAATGCTAAGGGCAAATGACTCCTCCTAGAAGTTTCACCACCCTCCACCCTGTCAAACATATTGGGCTGGGTTGGTGGCCTGGATTTTCTTGTCCATCAAGATGATGAGGAGGGTTTTAGCCGCTGGAAGGTGCTTTGGAAGCAGGACTCAGCTAACTCCATTCTGGTGTCACTTGGTTGTAACTGTCGGTTTGTTCTAGGTTTTACCTGTGTTTTGTTTCTGTCTTTAAAAAGAGAGAGAGAGAGAGAGAGAGAGAGAGAGGGAGGGAGGTTTGTTTGTTCGTTTGCTTGCCTGCTTTTTAAACCTGAAAGATTCTCAACCAACATTTCCTGCTGCAACTGATTTGAGTGGCTACTGAAGAGAAGAAAGGAAAAGACAAAAGAGGGTGGTGCAAAGAAAGGGGAGAGGAGAGGCAACGTTATTGCTGGGACTGCACATGTTTTCAAGGAAATGTCCATTTCTAACAACTAAGGACAGTCAGACAGAGAGACTCAAATAACTTTATAATATGTTGGGCACAAATCTCATGAAACATTATCTTGTGCAAGTCTTCCGGAGATAGCTCAGAGGGGAGTCAGAGAATTGGGTTCATTGTCTAATCCAGGGTTGGCCAACATGCTGCCCTCCATCCCTGGCTGTTTGCTATGCTGACTAGAGCTGGTGGGAGTTGGAGTCCAATAACGTTTGCCAATTTCGGTTTGCCCTGATTCCTTTTTCCCTTATGCTTTGTAGTACTTCATAGGCATCTGCCTTTCCCCTTGGTATGTCTGTCATTTGTGTGTGTGTGTGGGGGGTTACTTTAATTTCTCCCAAGATGTTTTTGAGAGCAAAGAAATTGCATCTCTCCCCCTAACCCAGTCCACACTGATCAGACTGTATTTGATACAACTTCCAGTGTTTCACAGCTCTCCTAACCGCACGGACTAAATTCAAAAGAACAACAGCACACACACAAAAAAAAGAAGAATGCAAAAGAAGGCGGCTGCTAAAATGATTAGACAGATGATCCCAGTTCTTGGGGAAAACATCAATGTTTTCTCATTAAGAAAAAAAAAATCATTTACTGGATAGGTGGTGCAGGATTAGCAGAACAGCTAGGTCAGCCACAGATTGCAAAGTTTGTGGGGGATGTGGGGGCACCATCTCTGTCTGCCTTTGGACTTTCTATACAGGACTGGGCTGCCATGAAATGTGCTGCATGTATAGCATGATTAATACCTTAACATTCTAATATATGTGTGTGTGATATATGCAGTATACTAATTCTAACAGTATAATATGTGTTGTTTTACAGGAGGGATGAGGAGACTCTGTCTTTCCTGATGTTGCTGGACTCCAACTCCCTTCATTCCTGAGCACTAGCCCTGCTGACTATGGCTGCTGGGAGTTGGAGTCCAATAATACCTATAGAGTCACCAGTTTCCCCATCCCTGATATAGACAATACTGAATCAGATGGACCTCAAATCTTACCTCTGCTGTGAATTCACTAGGTCTGAGGAGGAACTGAGGAGGTCTTCCAGATTGCATTGAACTGCACATCCCATTATCCATGACCATTGACCATGCTGGCTGGGGCAAATGGGAGTTGAGAGTCCAGCAACATCTGGAGGAGTTATTGTTCCCCATCCCTATTTTACCACACACACTTTCACAGCTCCATCCCTTGTCCACCCCATAGTCCAAGGCCATTTCTAGAATCAGTGTTCCTCTTACTTCCTCAAGCATGATCTTGCTGATCATGGAAGTCATGTTGATCTGGACAGCATTTACTACCAATGCATGATGTTGGTTAGGTTAGGGGAGAGTAATGCTCTTAACTGTGGGTGGTATGTGTTGCAAAGGATTGTGGGAGCAGCCACTAAGTGTTCCTGCTGATGAGTTTATACCCAGTAATGGGAACTAGGAGACAATTCTTCAAAATGTTCACTGGTCCTCAACATATCCCAAACCAGCTCCTTCTTTATTGCTCAGATCACAAAACTGGAAAACAATTACACTGCCCTACTTGACGCATACGTGACCAACATGTATAAAGTACACCCAACAGTCACTGCTTGTACCACCCTAAGGATTTAGGAGAAGACAGGGCCAACCCAAAGCTTCTTCTAGAAGCAAAGGACAAAATGGTGCCCAGTCAGTACACATACAGGTTCCAGCCAGTTGATCTAAATTTCTATGTTCATGTCTTCCACCATATCAGAGTGCTTAGGAGGTACAGAGCAGGCTAGCTTATGGAGAATTGTTGGATGGGACTTGTACCACCACCACTGCATCACCAGCATACACTACCAGAGGCAGCTCCCCCATTTCCTCATGCTTACTGAGGCAGATAGTAGCTATAGTTCAGCAACATCTGGAGGGCCAAAGGTTTCCCACCATTGGTGTAATGATAATGGCCCAGTATAGGCAGAGCAGCCTAATGTTTTTGTGGCACAAACAGAGAAGTGTCTCAATTTTGCTGCACAACTGGACCAAGGCCAATTTGCTCTCCCTGGCTCATCCCTTCTCCAGCCTAGGAACAGGAGGTCCTGGTACAATCAGGCAGACTCTTCCTTGGAATTGGGGCCTCTTTGTTTCCCAAGTTCTGCAAAAGTGGAAATTTTTGGCCTGTGTGTCAGGCAGGTATGAAAGAAGCTGCACTAGCTGATTTCAGACAGGGGACATAGCCAATCCTTTCTGGAGAGGCTGGGGGTTGAAACTGAGACTTGCATTCAAAGCAGATACTCTTCCAATAAGATAAGGCCCTTTCGCTAACAGCATAACGAGGTATATTTTCATTACCCATTCCATAGCACCTACTTTTGTCCCAAGTCAAAGCTTTTCCTAGAACCAGAGATCACCTCTTTGTATCAAGCTTCCATGTGTGTTGGGGAAAAGGTGAAAATCGCTAGCAGTGGCTGAAATATACCCTTACTGTTGCTGCTTCAAGAGAAAAACAGACTTGCAAAGTGTTAGCAGGTTTGAGTCATGTGTTCCTGTGCTTCCAAACAGTTAAAATGGCAGATTTCTCCATTCTGTAGAGCTTTGTGTACACTCACATGGAAAGCCGCACACATTTGCACAACCTGACAGTAGAAATGGGTTGGCAAGACAAATGAATGGATAACTAACACTGACCAGACTAGTCATGCTGCTTTCACATAGCTAGCCCCCGCCCTGAGTGTTAAGTGGTCGCGTGTTTGAGAAGAGGTAGAATGTAGCTGACCTAGAAACCCACCTAGTGGCTGGATCTTTTTGGCCCCCTAAAGCTGAGAAAAGGCCAAAAGGAATGCTTGTGAAACACGTTTCCCACCCCACTCATCTCAAAACACATGTTAGATCCCAAAGGCACAGAAGGGGCAAACAGAGCATATTTGCAGCCCACAGGAATGCCTGACACAGAGATAGTTCGGGAGCCCCAGTCCCAAAAATCACAGAGGCCTGCAAGTTATTTTGAAGAGAAGTGGGGAAATATATGTCTCCTTCCCCCAACCCTCTAATATTGCTGGGACCATCAGTCCCAGTCAATGTGGCCAATAGCCAGGGGTGATAGAAGCTGGAATGCCACATGTTCCTCACACTGCCTTGGGGAAAAGTAGTGAGGCTTACATTTCAGCCACTGGTTCAGGTTTCAAAAGTAGGTCTGAAGCCATCTTTCCCGCTTTGTTCTCCATCATTTCTCAATAAGGAGGTAAACAGGAAGTTAAGTGTAATGTACCAAAGCCACACTCTGCTGATTGTAGAACAAAAACACTTTGATGCGCACCATGATCCTGTGCCCTAAGCAGGTAACTCAGTGTTTTCAGAGCTGACAGCATACCTGTGGACTCAGATTTAGCAAGGGCAACTGAATGTACAGTCACGGGTGATCACAGAGTAGGCCGTCCCATACACACACACACCACACCACACCACACCACACCACACCACACTCTTATTGGGCTATCTGGAGGGCAACCAGCACTCTACCATCAATCCCTTTGCTGGATCTGGCTGATGGACTTAAGGGTTTAATTTTCACCAGCAAGAGGAACAAGAGGGATGGGAAATAGATTTGTGGGGTTTACAGCGCTTGAGCGCCTGGGACATAAACTGCTCTAACTGAAGTTATGGGTCTGTCTCTCTATTCCTTTGAAACAAAACACAAGTGTAAGGGGGGAGTAGACCCCATTTGCTGCTGCCTTCAAGAGAAGCAGAATACGTATTTTGAGCTATATCCGAATATAATATAGTAATATTTGCAAATAAAACTGTGATCTCTTCTAGTGCAACATATATAGATATAAATATATATATATTGATAGATAATATAATTATTCCTATTACCAACTGCTCCTCCATAATGATAAACCATATTATATCATTTTTTTATTGTTACAGTTATGATGGTTACACTTATTGGTGATTTTATTATGGAATTTGTACTTTAGGCATCAGCTCCAAGTCAGTGTCAACCAATACTTACCCCGCCCCCCCCCAAAAAAAGTTAAATGGAACTATTTACATAAGAGTTCTACGGGTCTACTGTATAAGCGAGAAAGAGAGAGAGAAGTAAGAAGGAAATTGGAGGGACAAAACAAAAACACAGTTTAAACCTTATTTTGGTACCTCATGCCTGTACTTTTGCTGCTCCTGGTTATTTTACTTGTTCCGTTGCTGCGTTCGTTTGTTTTTAACAAATCTAATTTAAATCTCCAAGCAATATATAAAGATGTAAATAGTAAAAAAAACCACCTTATTTATTAAGATTGTCATCTTTTTTAAGAAAAATTATATTTACACAATTGTTCATCTAATTTATTACCTTTTTAGTAGTACAGTTATTTTCTCTATGATTGTACTGGTGTTGTTGTTTTTTCCTGTTCAGGGTCTTTGTTTAAATGTCATTTTTTTTACAGGTCTGGTATTTGTTCATTTTCAATTATTCTCTTCCTCCCCATACCCTCCCTCAGTTTTTCAGGTAACTGGTTATATTTCACATATTCAAATAATAATAATTTTTAACCCATCATGCATCAGCACTATTTTCCCATTGTCTTATTCCTGTATGTTAAAGTTATATATATGTGGTCTTTACCTGAGAAAACAAAGACTCAAAAGCAGCAGTATAAAAGCTTGTATTAAAAGAGTTCTGAACTTGATGGGTGTCCTTTTTATTATTCCGATTCCAGTGACTTAAGCTTCCTTCCTTTCATGTACTGTTCCATGGGGCTAAGGAAATGAACAATTAAAGGTAAAGGTAAAGGTACCCCTGCCCGTACGGGCCAGTCTTGCCAGACTCTAGGGTTGTGCGCCCATCTCACTCACGTGGCCAGCGTGACATCGCTGCTCTGGCAAGCCAGAGCTGCACACGGAAACACCGTTTACCTTCCCGCTAGTAAGCGGTCCCTATTTATCTACTTGCACCCGGGGGTGCTTTCGAACTGCTAGGTTGGCAGGCGCTGGGACCGAGCAATGGGAGCGCACCCCGCCACGGGGATTCGAACCGCCGACCTTTCGATCGGCAAGCCCTAGGCGCTGAGGCTTTTGCCCACAGTGCCACCCGCATCCCAATGAACAATTACTGCAGCACAATTGAGAAACAAAGACCATTCACTTCCTACAGAGGAAAGATCTACTTCTCACCTATCTCACCTACCTAGGTCTCAGTAATACACACCAGGCTGGCTCCCTCATCTGTGATCAAGTTGCAAACGAGCAAGGTCTTACTATGAACCCACCTGGTGTGGTTGTCAGGCTACCTTTCTTTTCTTTGGCAATCACTCAGTCTTCCATGAACACAGTCTTAACAGTGTGTCCATAAGTGATCAACACCTTCCAAGGTTACACCATTAAGTTGGATTTGTGGTACTGCAGAGGGGTTGTTTTGGGCTTGTTGGTGCAACACTTTGTTTTTTGGATATTGAGCGATAGTGCAAGCTTTCCATAAGCTTCTGTGAAGATATTTATAAGGGTTTGGAGGTCATCCTCCGAGTGTGCACACACTATGTTGTGAACCACCCTGAGACATCCGGGTATAGGGCAATATATAAATTAAATAAATAAATAAATAAATAAATAAATAAGGTCAAAAGTAAAATTCCATTCTAGTTGCTGTTGCCAATTCCTTCTTTCCCAATAGTCCCTGGCCACAGATTGAAATCTCACCCAACTCTTGTGTTAAAATCATCCAGGAGGGTAATTTTATCCTCCAGATGTGTTTCTGATAGAATGGCATCCAACTGAGAATAAAAAATTTCTTTAATGTCTTCATCAGCATCCAGTGTTGCTGCATAAGCATTTAAAATAGTTGCCTGCTGGTTTTTGGTCAGTTTTATTCGAAGGGTTGAAAATTGCTCATTAATGCCAATAGGGACTTCTGACAAGAGCTTCACAAGGTTGTTTTTGATAGTGAAGCCTACTCCATGTAATCATCGTTCTTGTCCAGTTAGACCTTTCCAGAAGAATGTATAGCCTCCTTTTTCAGTTGTCCCTCTCCTGCTCTTCGAGTTTCTTGAAGTGCTTCAATATCAATATTAAAATGCCACAACTCTCGTGCAATGATGGCAGTCCTGCATTAGTATTCACTGGATAAGGACAAATTCAGTATAGGAGATGGGTAGCATCTAAGAAGAGCCAGACTGCTGGATTAGGCCAAATAGCCCATCTAGTCCAGCATCATCTTCTCACAGTGGCCAACCAGATGCCCAAAAACAGGACATTGGCACAACAGCACTATTTCCAGAAGCTTGTATTCAGAGGCAAATATTGCCTGTGAAAGTGGAGGCAGAACCTACCATTGGCTGCTAGTCAAGAAGTGGTCCCAACAATCACATCAACAGGGCTTTGCTGCCATGGATAATCTTTTTTATGCCACCATCATTCTCCTTGCTCTTCCAAATTACCTGCATTGTATAGGTGGACACTGGCTAAAAAACTAAAAAAATCTGCAGGTATTTTACCACACCTGACAATGGTTCTGCAGATGTCCTACACCAGACACCTCATATACACTTTTCTTGTCATGGGTTTCTGTCTCCAGACCCAATTTCCCCCCTCCCTTCTTTCAAAATGCTTGTGACAGCCCAAGATCTTTTGCTGCTTAAGATGAAGGACAAAGTGGCTTGACACACCTGCTGGCCCTTCTCCACATCTAGAAACTGACCAAAGTGACACTGGACTCTTAAAATTTGAGTTGGAGTTCAAAAATATCTGGAAGGCCACTTAGTCCTGCAGACAATTGTTTTATCATGCTCATGAAGTACAGGGCAACTTGGTTTCAAGAGAGAGAAGCACACATAAAGAGGGGATGGGAGAAATCTCATTTCATTGGAATCAGCTGTGAATATCCACTCACCTGGAACTCCGGATGGGCGGCCGTGGCCTCATGGCATGGCCATGGTGGGTTCAAGGAGGCTGCCATCTTCTGGTGCAACTAGGGGAGGTGATGGCTGCAACTGGCCACCTCCAGCTGAATCAGGTCCTCTGGTAAGGGCAGGAAGTGCCCATTTGCCAATCAGAGGCAAGGGCTTGGGGTCTGTGAGCAACCCACCTCTAGCTTATTTAAGAAGGTGGCCAGGTGTCAAATGCCCTCTTGGCCGATCAGTTTTCCATCCAGCCAGTCTTTAGGGGCCTGTCTGGGGAGGAGGGAAGTGGGCACATTGCCTACAGACCGTGCTATGGTTTATTCAGTCACTGTATTTGGGGCCAAGGAGGAATTTTCTCCTGTAAGCAAATTGGCTGGGTTGCAGGTTTTGGCTTACCTCATAGAAACTGTCACAACTCTGGTGGACAAGGCATTGGGCTGGATCCTTACTTACAGGGGCACCCCGTTGGAGGGGTCCAGGAGGGGTGACTCTGTCCAGGAATCCACTGGGGGACCAATGGGCCAATACACTTCTCCCAATGGTGGCTTGTACAGGGTTGTGGAATCCATTCCATGTTGGAAGTGACTCCCCAGCACAAGCTTGACCCCACCAGGTTCCTACCAGGTAGCAGGGGGGCTGCCTGATGCCGGAGACATGCCCAGTGCCTTAGACAAACCCAGTCTTTCCTGTAATCAATAAAGTTGTGCCCTAATTCAACCCAATACCAGTGTCCTGTGTCTTTCTTGTGGCCCTTCGTTCACCTGCCATTGCCATTATGCGCCTATGCTGGCAAATTCCCTTGAATTTTCATGCATAAAGTTTATTTCCTTGCTAAAACATCCAGTTCTTTCAGTCCTGACCAATAGATCAGGCTCTGGAAAAAGGCTAATAAAGTTTCCCAAAACCACTACTGTGGGCTTTGCTGCACTGGAAGCATTGTTAAAATCCCCACCGTCTTTTCAAAAGGGTCAGGATTCTTTTTGTTTTTAATCTGAAATGCTAGCCGTCTTATTTCTGCAAATTCCAACTGCTCTTTCCATCACGTATTATGGCTCCAGCTCATGGAAGTGGCTATAAATGAGCTTTGCAGCCACAGTGGGGGGGGAAACATGGCTGGAGGGGAAAAGCAGAAGGGAATCCCTTTTATTCAATATCCCCCCCCCCAACCTCCAGAATTTAAAAACTCAAACTTTCCATCCAGCTACACAGAAACCTCAGTGTCTGGCTTTCTGCAGCCTCCATAGTGCAAGAAACTCTTAAAACTATGAGAAAAATTTGCTGGAGTTCAAGGATACTCCATGGAATTCCTTGTGCAATAGAATGTCTAGAAGGTGGCCACAGAGCTCTTGGTTGGATTCAATACCCAGTAGCCACATATGAAAGGAATAATCAAGGCTTTTGTTAACAAGTGTCAGACGTAGAGTATCCTCTCCTCCCCTGGTAGCCTCAGCGGCAAGAAGAATAAACAGTTCATATTTTGTGGCTTTTTTTCATTCATCTGGTTGCCAGACAAAAGATCCATGTCTCCATGCATAGGAGAGGTTGGCTACTCTGAGTCCCTCCTCTTCCGTCTCCCACAACATCCTGGAAACCTACGGGAAGTCACAGGAGTCACATCTCTCTGCATTCTTTGTTCTTGAATGCAGAGGGACCAGCAAGCCCTTGGACTAGAAGGGTCTCCCATACTCTCCAGGGAGGTCTCTGCTGTTTGCTCTCTAACTCCCCCCCCCATTATCTTGTAACTTAGGATTTCCTCATTCAGCTGTACATCATCCCTGTCTCCCTCTCCTCCTTAAACTGCTGGAGACAGGGGGGAGGGGGGACGACTTCCTACTCCTCCTCTTCTGAGAAGAGCCAATCAGACCAAGGGCTCATTTCCCATTCCTCCTGTTCAGTCCAGTCCCTGATATCATCCCCCTCTCCATAATTTTCCTCCTCCTCCCCTGTCTCCCTCTACCCCTTCAGTTTTGGTTCGGTGTGGTGGCTCTTATGAAACTCCCTTTGCAACTCCGGGTCATGAACATGTTATGCATATTCCCAAGACCTTTCTTCTGGCCCATACCCCTTCCATGCAACCAAGTACTGTAGTCTCTTCCATCTCAAGCGTGAGTCTAGAATCTGCTCTACTGCAAACTCCTCCTCTCCCTCTACCAGGACAGGAGGTGGGGGGTGCTTGCCTGGGCACTTGGTAGGGGTGTGCTGGCAGTACTGGGGACAGCACAGACCTATGGAATACAGGGTGTATCTTCATTGAGGCTGGCAACCTGAGTCTGAAAGTTACCGGATTGATCTGTTCTATCACTTCAAATGGCCTCACCCTCTGAGGATCCAGTTTCCTGCATCTACCTCTCTGGGGCAAATCTCTTGTAAACAGCCACACCTGGTCCCCCACCTTTATCTCACTGCTTATTTGTCTATGGGCATCGGCTGTCCTCTTATACAACTCCATAGCATAATCCAAACGTTCCCTTAGCAGGCTCTGTATGGCTGTTAACTCTTCTACGAAGTCTTTTGAAGCTGGTACCGACACTATGTCAGTTTGGGAAGGGAAAGTATGTGGGTGCTACCCATAACTGGCAAAAAAGGGGGGTCTGCTGGGTTGAAGCATGAAGTACATTGTTGTACGCGAACTCTGCCAAGGGCAATTTGGACACCCAATCATCTTGTTGGTAGTTCACGTAACACTGGAGGTACTGCTCCAACATGGAGTTGGTCCTTTCCCCATTAGACTCTGGGTGTTGGGCTGAGGTGAGACACACTTTTACTTTGAGTAGTTGCACGAGCTTCTTCCAGAACTGTGAGGTGAATTGGGTTCTCCGATCCGAAATCACTTTAAGGGGGAGCCCGTGCAACTTGAACACAGGATCTACAAAAAGCTGTGCTGTCTCTTGTGCAGTCGGCAGTCCTCTATAGGGCACAAAGTGTGCCATTTTTGTGAATAGGCCTACCACTACCCAAATTACTGTCTGTCGCTGTGGCTCAGGCAGATCAGTGATGAAGTCCATAGCTATGGCTTTCCATGGTCCTTGTGGTGTGGGTAGTGGTTGGAGCAATCCTGCAGACGCTTCCCTGGGCCTCTTTGCCCGCTGACAAATCTCACAGGCTCAGACATATTCCTTGACATCCTCCTTCAACCTTGGCCACAAGAATTGCCTCATCACGTAGTGTCTTGTGCTGCCCAAAGTGTCCCGCTGTAGGGTTATCATGGCATGGACGTAGGATCTTGGCTAGGAGATCTCCCTCCAGAACATAGTGTGCTTCTCCTCTATACAGTAGCCCATCTTTCCCCACAAACCCCTCAGCATCACCTGCATCATTCCGCAGCACCTCTAACTTGCCTTTTGCAAAAGCATTCTCCCATGTCTTCAGCTGAAATTCAGATACTTCAACAACTGACCCTGCTGCCATCTGTAGATGCTCTGGTTTCAAATATGCCTATACACTGGAACTGGCGCAGCATCCTGATATTCCAGCCTCCTGGAAAAGGCATCCACCCCTTGATTCTGACTGCCAGACACATAATGCACTCTAAAGTCAAATCTGGCAAAGAACTGCACCCAACGAATCTGCTGTTGATTGAGACATTGCATCATCTGCCAATACTCCAAATTCTGATGGTCAGTGCACACTTCCACTTGGTGTTGCACCCCCTCTGCTCAGGAAGGAGTCAGCTTCCTAAAGTGGAAAGCACAAGGTTGCAGGTTGCCATTCTGGTCCTCTTGCAGCAGTACCGCCCCTACTGCCCTGTCAGAGGCATCTGTTTCCACGACCAGTGGCCAGTGAGGGTCGCCATGTGCTAGGTATTCCTCTGAGGAGAACATGGTTTTGAGCTGCTCAAATGCCTGTTGCGCATCAGCTGTCCACTGAAATGACTTCTTACCCCTCAAGCAGTCCACGAGAGGCACCTTGAGTCTTGAATAGGCCAGCTCGAACTTGCAGTAGTAGTTGGCGAACCCCAGTAGTTGCTGCAGGTCTTTCTTCGTCTTGGGTTCCTGCCATGAAACTACGCTCTGCACCTTAGCTGGATCCAAGCACACCCCCTCTAGTGTGAGGCAGTAACCCAGGAAATCTACCACAGGAACATGGAATTGGCATTTCTCCAACTTCACAAAAAGCTGGTGTTCTTTCAGCCTCTGCAGCACCTCTGTCACATGTTGCATGTGCTGTTCCTGGCTTTCAGAGTAAATCAAAAATATCATCAAGATAACTGATCATGAACTTATCCACCAGGCCACTGAGAAAATGGTTAAGGAAGGCTTGAAACGCTGCTGTCCCCAACTGAAGACCAGGTATTCAAAAATTCCATACCTGGTGCAGAACATTCTTTTCCACTTGTCTCCCTCCTTCACATGGATCAAGTTATAAGCCCCCCTTAAGTCCAGCTTTGTGAAAATCTTCACTGACCTCAGCCTTTCTAATAAATCCCCAATATGTGGTAGGGGATAGTGATTGGGCACCATTAGGCTATTGATCTTTCAGTAGTCTGTGCATAATCTAAGTTCTGTGGTGTCCCTTTTCTTCATGAACAGCACTGGGGAACCTCCTGGTGCATTGGAAGGTCTGATGAAGCCCCTTGCCAGATTCTTCTCCAAAAACTCTCTCAAAGCCACCAGCTCTGTCTTGGATATCGAATAGAGGCAGCTTGTGGGCAGCCAAGCACCTGACAGGAGATCTATCTTACAGTCATAAGACCTATGGGGTGGCAATTTATCTGCTTCCTTCTCCTGAAACTGCTGGAGACTGGGAGGGCGAAACTTCCCACTCCTCCTCCTCTTCTGAGAGGAGCCATTTCCCATTCCTCCTGTTCAGTCCAGTCCCTGACAACAAGCTACATAGAGATAGTATGCTGAGACCGCAAAAGTTCAGGATCTGACAATTCCACAGGAGGCAGAACATTACAGCCCTATGTTCCTGCCTGGGTCAGATCTTCATCACAAGAAGAACACAAGAAGAACTCTGTCCCATCAATCAACTCATTTCACTGCTACTGCAGCAGCTCAAGTAGCAACAAATCCTGCAGGGGCAGGAGGTCTTAGTGCCCTCTCTTCTCTCCTGGTGCATTAATTCTGGGATCCCTGGGAAATGTAATTTCCCCAAGGCATCTCATATTTGTCAGGAGTCCTAGAAAGCTGCACTTCCCAGTACTCCATGCATCTATGCTGGCTGGGGCTTTTGGGAGTTGGAGTCCTGCAGCAATTGGAGTGAACCCAGTTGGCTACCCCCACCAAAATCTTTGAGATCTTTCCCCATCATTCAACCTGTTTCCCTTTCACTGTCTCCCTCTTCATTGGCAATAAAATTAGAGCTACTAAATCCTTCAGTGAGTATCCTAAGCTCATTGTAGGTATCCTAAGTTCACTGAAGATGCAGAACCTATGGCCCACCCAAACTTGTTGGAGATACTCCAGTTCCCATCAGCCTCAGCCTGCTTGCCCAAAGGGCAGGGATGGGTTGGTGTTATAGTCAAAGAACATGGGGAAGACTGCAGAATCCGCATCTCTGACCACCTAAAGATCAGTAACAAATTCAGAAAATAGTTATAACTTTGGGGGTGGTTGTGCTTGAAGTTAAAGCAAATGGAACAACTGGAGAATTGAGCCTTCACTTCAGATTTGGTGACTTAACCAGTTCCCTGGTTATACCTGCCCTTGTTTCTATGCCCTGCCTTGCCTACTGAGGGAACCTTCCCCATTTCACAAAAGCTGACAATGGTCTGCCTCTGACCCACCCATGACCCTGTTCTCATAACCTTTCAACCTTGGAGGGGCTATTCCCATGTAGCCAGCCCCACAGCTTTTCTTCCCAACATAATACAGACTCACTTGTCTAGCAGCCCCACCACACATGTACCTTTCCCAAGTTCATTTTCATATAAATGTCCACACAGATTTGTCACAGAGCCAGTGAACAAGGGGTCTGACACCTACAATGGAGAATCCAAATAGCAATAGCCCCGCCCACAACCCCCATTAATTAAAAGGTGGTGCAACCACAGAGAAAGGAATAGGAACTGCTGCACATGCACACATGTGGCTGCTACCTATTCTAATGTGGCTCAAGAACACAAAGACAATTTGTCTGGTTCAGGCTGAAGATGCATCTAGTCCAACATCCTGATTCCAACAGTGGCCAATCAGGTGCCCTGGGAATCCTGCAATCTGGGTACAAGCACAATGCATCCGCACACACTGCCTTTGCTGCTGCCTTCCCATCAATTAATAGAAAAAGGACCACCTTGTTAAGAAGCAGCCTGTGCAACAATAATGGCTGACAGACCTACCCCACTCTAATCCAGGGGTGAAACTAGGCTTTATTTCAGTTGAGTCAAAGACCCAGTTTAGCACACCCTTGCCACACACACAGGCTGGAAGCCTCAATCGTGTCCCTCTGGAGGCTGCACCCGGGGCAAAAATCCAAGCTACCCCTGTAGCTATCCTGATAGTCTAATGTCCTTTTAATGACATTGCATGCTTGGTCTACACTTGCAACAGACTGAGATTGAAGAGGCCTGGGGTAGTGAAATGGATAGTAGCACTTCAGGCAGCAGGCGTGGAAATCGTTGTTGCGGGCATCCATCTGTCTGGGGAGACAATGGAAATGTGAACCTTTGGAAGTAAAGTCAAACTGTTGAAGAGTTACAGTGTGTGCCATAGCAGTATAGACCAAAAAAGGAAAGACTGGTTTTATTGCAGGTGGGGCAGATGAAGGCATCCAGTTTTGCTACTACTGGTACACCATAGTGTTTCTTTTCTCTGTGTTCCTTCCAGCAGTCATTCCTCCTCTGGTCACTTCTGTGGATATACAACCTGACTGTCTGTCTCCAGGCATTGTGGTCAGCTGCAAGGAACTCTCACAAGGCGGGGCTGATGTTGTCAGCCTTCATATCTTTTTTGCAAACATCTTTGTAATGCAGCGTTGGTCTGCCAACAAGCCTAGTGCCTGAAGGTGGCTCCTCATAGAGCATGTCCTTAGGGATCCAGCCATCTTCCCTTCTGTGGGCATGACCATATTATATCTCTCCTAACTAAGTGCTCATTTGTGATACCTTCCTCTGCCTAATCTTTGTCCCTACCCAATGTGTCCCCACCCCCATTCCCCTCCTCACCCTGTCTTTCATTTGGCCATTTATGTATTTATATTATATTATTCAAGTATTGGAAAATCCATTACACATCTTCAGGAGAAGAAAAGGCTAAGGAATGAAGCCTACACAAAGCTGGAGTGGAGTTCCTAAGCCAAGCTAGTGCCAAATGAACTGCTCTGCTTTCCTTTGGACACTGCTCAGGCTTGAACCCCAGAGAGCTCACTTCAGTGCTGCTAATGCAGCAAAAACAACACAGGAGGAAACAGTTACAAGTTACCAGTCTGTGAAGCCACGGCAGGTGCTGTGATTCTCCAGCAATTTGATTTCGTCCCTGGAGGCACACTCCATTGTCTCTCAAGACAGATGGATGCCAACTATACACACACACACACAGAGAGAAACCAAGTACATGAAAAAGTCTTTTGATCTCACAAGAGTCTTCCATAGCCTCTATTTCCAGAAAAAAAAAACAGTCTCTGCCCATGTCAAGAATTCCCTGGTCAAGGCATCTAAGGGCCCAGGTGCTAAATTTGCTACTAGAGGCTGATCTGACTGCCCCAACCTCCACCAACCCCTTCACCTGGTCAGTTTCTGGCACTGCCGTAGAGCCTTTAGGGCAGGTGGAAGCAACTGTGTGGGTCTGGGTTCTTCCATGTCATGTATTGAATGTGGGACTGGAGTAGAACCGTGCTCAGAGGAAGGCAGCCAGCCAGCAGTGGTAGGGACACCTGAGTATATATTAACAGAGTGCTCAACAGCCTGCCAAGTCTCAGGAAGCCGGAAAGTGCAACAGGCTTGGCTTCAAAGCCCGAGCATAACATGGTCAAAAAGTTTCCAAAGAAGGAACCACAGATCCTTCCTTTCAGTCAAGACCCCTTTTATGTCAATTCTGCATTTGGTTTGGCTCTGCTGCTGGGCATCAAGGGCTCACATTGCTCCAGTGCCTGGGGCTGGCTTTGATCTGAAGGGCTGGACACATCACGTTTGGCTGGGCAGAGATGACGGCTGCTGGGGAAGATGCAGTTATACCGTGACTCCCCCAAGTGTTTGTCAATCAAGCTCTGGGCTTGAATGCAACACCCCCTCTCCCATCCCAGCAGTACCGAAGTCTATGTGTATCATTGCTTGGGATCTTCACAACCTTTAAAGTGTCTTGTAAACTTCCTCTCTTTTTTGGTTGAGAATGTTGAGGGCCTCTTTGCTCCTGTGCCCAAACCAGGTAGGCAAGATTTAGGAACACAGGTAACTGCCTTATACCCAGACTATCGGACTGTCTCACTCAGTATTGTCTACCCAAACCGGCAGCGGCAGTCCAGGATTTCAGGCAGGGTCCTTTCCAGCCCTACCTGGAGATGCCAGGGGTTGAACTTTGGACTCTCTGTGTACAAAGCAGACGTTCTGCCACCAAGCTACAGCTCTTCCCCAATTTGCTTCTGAATTTAGAAACATAGGAAGCTGCCTTACAGGAAGGCAGACAATGTGCCCCCAGCACTGCCTATCTGGGTTAGATGTGCCTCTTTTGGTAGAGATTTGCCAGTGAGCTATGTCCAACTTCCCAAAGGCACCACCATCTTATCACTTGAAACTGGGTTTGCCTGGGATTCTAACCTGGGATTTCTTGTGCTTTCAGTGAGAATCATGTCCCAAGACAAAAACAACAGGCAAACCTAGGTCCTTTTGCTTACCATCTATAGATCACAGATGGCATGAGAGAGATCCCAGACAAAAGGTCATCCAGATGCTGGTTAAATACCTCTGGCAAAGGAAATATTTTAGCAGAGGCTTTTCAGCTGCTGGGGAATGCTCCAGTTGCATAATGCAGAGAGTTGGATTAGATGAGATCCAATATCCTTTCCAACTCTAAAAGCCTATATAGTCTTCATTATCTCAGAGCAGCTATCAGGCAGGTGTGCTAATTTAAACAGGGAAGCAGTGCTGTGGGACATTATTTCCTTAAACCAACCAAAGTTATTAGCCTTGCTCATAGGAGTCAAGGTGGGGCTTACCTCCCTCCCCCAATATTTTATTCAAGTTGGCATCTCTGGCCTTACTGGGTGAAAACCCTACTAAAACCCC